TATTATTATTTTTTAATTCGTTAATTTAATCGTTTATTCGAAGAAAGAAATATACAATATTTCTGTAAACATGGACAATTTTATTGTATGTAGTTTCTCGTTTCCCAAAAATGCAGACATAACCAGGCCTTGGGGGTTTAGATGTTTCGATGTTCGGATTTCGGAACAATACACCAACTCAAGCATTTAATATTATTAGTTTTAAATCTCTTTCTGATCTGTTGACTGTTCACTCTCAAGATGTTTGCTGAAGACCATACAATGATACGAAAACAATATACAATTCAAAAAAGTTCAACACAATTTGTAGTAGGGACTTGAGCAGGTACCTGCAGACTTGAACGCACGTCGCCGTCGTATATCAACCGTTTCATCGTACAGCATTATACGATTATAGCTGACAAAATTTTACGTTTACAATTAGAAAAATGAGCGGCTTCATAATATAATNTCAGTGAAATTAAAAAACCTCCAAGTGCAATTTATAGAGGAACCAATCGAAACTTTTCAGGAAGATTAATTTGTAATCGTTCTGAGGATATCAATCAGAAACTGAAAAAGTTCCATTAAAAAATAAAAAAAGGGAGGGTCACTGTCTTGATTTAGTAACCAATATCGGTTGTTTCTTCTTTACAAAATGAGTGACAGAATAAGGAAGGTTGCTATAGAAACGGAAGCTGTGCCTCCTGTTTTATTTTAGGAATTGTCATTTCCACTACCTTTCCTGAAACGGAGAAGAATTTACTTCTTAAAAGATATATACATATTTTATTTTTCGTATCTTCTACAAGGACATATTTGCTTATAGGTATAGGTAATACATAAAATTTGTATATTAACCAATGTGTACTTTTACTACACCTAATTCTTTAGTGCATCATTTATTTCTAATTGCAGTAGATTGAACAATTTAATTCTTTATTACTTACTTGTGAGAATTTGAAACGCAGAGAAAATAATTTTGATTTGTATTCCAATGTAAGTTTTCCCTTTGACTTAAACAAAAACAAAAAAAAAGAACTTATTATTCTTAATATACGATAGAATCAAACACCTATTGCAGCATTTTAAAAAATCCAACCTCTGAAAGGGGGTGAAAAGAGGTTGTAACGTTTATATGCTAGATATTTTATATTGCGAGCACGAGCGTGTTTGTGTGCGATCGGGCATACGTGTGTGTGAGCGGCTTATCGATTCGTCGGCTAGCCGCGGGCGCCTTTCTTCATGTGCGCCGTATCTGTAAACGTGTGTGTGGTACCTGCGTTCCGGGAAAGCAATTAAACAGTTCGAAGAAAACGAAACTTTTCCGGACGGCTCGAGAAAGTTCCAGAAAGGACCCAAAAGAGTATATAAAGGAAGAGACGATCGAGCATAGAAGTGACTTCTTTTTATTAAAGGCGACTCGACCCTGCGCTTTTCTCTGCTTTATATCCCTACTAGTCCTTCTGTCCTGACTTATCTGACTTCCTAGATATCTAAAATCAGCCACTTCTTCTAATTTTTCATCTCCTTTCTTTATATTCGCTCTTTCCCTACTTCTTCTTCCCTTGCATACCAGTATTTTTGTTTTACTTTTATTTATTTTCATACTATACTGTTTTGTCAATACCGCTTCCATTTTATTGAATTACGTTACCTTACTCTAAATAACAGCTGATGATCCATCTGCTACAATTGAAGCGAATTGGTATGACTAATTCAAAAATTCACTGCGCTTATTAGTAAAGGGATGATTAATAACACTGCATCCAGATGTTAAATTCTCACCCGTCTATCGAATTTTGTTTATCAGGTAAACGTTTTTAATTTGATCCCGGATGTGTTCACATTGTTTTAAAGCACGTTCAATGAATTTGTAAAAGACACCCATGCTGAACGTTGAAAGTACAATATAATTGAAGACAATATAAACCTAGTTCTGATACAAATGCATATGAAAACGTTATCCCGAAAAAGTATTTTTAAGCAAACACCAAATTTTTGCGATATTGTTCGAGTACATAGAAACATTTTCTTGATGTGAGACTCTCAGTTACTCCCTAGTTCATATAATTTTTTACTATATACATAGAAACATAGTAGAATGAAGATTCATTCTACTATGGATTCCGGTCGTGAAAGCCTTTGTTCTTATACATAGAATAGAAACAGTTGAGAGTAAAAACAGTTTGGAAAATTTTAGTAACCAACAAAAGCTCCTCCTAATACAGAGGGTGGTAGATAGAATGATGATTTTAAAGTCAAATAACTCATTCGTTTTTATTTTCATCTCACATCAAATGATAAATCAGTCAAATTATGTTATTTTTGTAAACAATTAAATGTAAGTATTGTTTCGGCAAAGAGCACAACCGAAGCTTAAAGGTCAAGGTCACTTATGTAAACCCTCGTCCAATGACTTGAAAGAGTTAGACAATTGGGCCTAATAAATGAATCCATGGATAAAACGATTTATGGCCAACAAGTTCAAAGGTCAAAGTCAGCCAGCTGTAAGCTATCATATCAACAAAACACTTGACAGGTAAGAATGAAGCCGAAAGTTCACACACGGAAGAGCAAGCCATTTTGGTTATACCAACATTTGAACTTGGGTTTATACCACTGTTTACATTCATTTAATTATAAATTTATCAATTTGGTGTTTCTTTAGCCATTCTTGTTTAATTTTCAATAAAAATATCAAATGCAGTATTCCATTTTGATTAATAATAATTTCGACAAATAAATACATAACATAAAATAAATTCTGGCCGATTGACTCAATTTATATCAACTTTACACTTTTCCTTTTCTTTTAGCTTCTACCGTCTAGAAAATAATTGTATAAAAACAAAAAGATATACAGCATAAAATATCCCTCAATTTTTTTTCTGGACCATAAGCTTAGGTAGGAAAGACAACAACAAGTAAGTCATTTCTTTTACGTACAGAAATATGGAGATACGGATTTAAGAGTGATTTAATAAGTACAAGGTTTTGTTTTCGGTTTTTCGTAATTGGGTCAATTTAAAACATTTTCAAAAAAAACTAAGTAATCTGAAAAGGTATATGTACAAGATAGAGATTTTTACAATTGTGATCGGTTGGTTCATGTTTTTTATATTATGATGCTAATTAAAATTAGTAATTGTGTGCGTGTACTATATATAGGTATTAGGGCAGATAAAATATTAGTACCTTTTTCAAACTGATGGGAAATAATTTAACAAAACTACAAAATGGAAAGAAGTTGACAGTTCAGTGAAATTAAAAAACCTCCAAGTGCAATTTATAGAGGAACCAATCGAAACTTTTCAGGAAGATTAATTTGTAATCGTTCTGAGGATATCAATCAGAAACTGAAAAAGTTCCATTAAAAAATAAAAAAAGGGAGGGTCACTGCCTTGATTTAGTAACCAATATCGGTTGTTTCTTCTTTACAAAATGAGTGACAGAATAAGGAAGGTTGCTATAGAAACGGACGCTGTGCCTCCTGTTTTATTTTAGGAATTGTCATTTCCACTACCTTTCCTGAAACGGAGAAGAATTTA